TTAACTTTTATTTTATGTTCAGGGACACAGTGAAGGTTTGTTACATAGGTAAACTCATGTCACAGGAGTTTGTTGTACAGATTATTTCATCACTCAGGTATTAAGCCCAGTCCCCAATAGTTACCTCTTCTACTCCTCTTCTCCCACCCTCCACCTCGAAGCAGACCCCAGTGTCTGTTGTTTTCTTCTTTGTGTTCATAAGTGCTCATCATTTAGCTCTCACTTATATGTGAAAACATGCAGTATTTTTTTTTTCTGTTCCTGCATTAACTTGCTAGATAATAGCCTCCAGCTCTATCCATGTTCATGCAAAAGACATTATCTCATTCTTTTTTATGGCTGCATAGTATTCCATGGTGTATATATGCCACATTTTCTTTATCCAATCTGTCATTGATGGACATTTAGGATCATTTTATGTCTTTGCTGTTGTGAACAGTGCTACAGAGAGCATTCACATGCATTGTCTTTATGGCAGAATGATTTCTATTCCTCTGGGTATATACCCAGTAATGGGGTTGCTGGGTTGAATGGTAGTTCTGCTTTTAGCTTTGAGGAGTCTTCATACTGTGAGTTACACACTCCCATCAACAGTGTATAAGTGTTCCTTTTTCTTTGCAACTTCACCAGCATCTGTTGTTTTTTGACTTTTTAATTATAGTCATTCAGACTGGTGTGAGATGATATCTCCTTGTGGTTTTCATTTGCATTTCTTCAATAATCAGTGATATTGAGCTTTTTTTCATGTTTGTTGGTTACATGTATATCTTCTCTTGAGAAGCCTCTGTCCATGCCCTTTGCCCACTTAGTAATGGAGTTGTTTTTCTCTTGTAAATTTGCTTAAGTTCCTTATAGATGCTGAATATTAGAACTTTATCAGATGCATAGTTTATAACTATTTTCTCTCATTTTATAGGCTGTTTACTCTGTTGATAGTTTCTTTTGCTGTGCAGAAGCTCTTCAGTTTAATAAGATCCCACTTGTCAATTTTTGCTTTGTTGCAATTGTTTTTGGTGTCTTTGTCATGAAACCTTTGCCTGTTCCTGTGTCTAGGATGGTATTGCCTAGGCTGTCTTTCAGGGTTTCTATACTTTTGGGTTTTACATTTAAATCCTTAACCCATCTTTAGTTGATTTTTGCATATGATAATAAGGAAGGGTCCACCTTTAATCTTCTGCATATGGCTAGTCAATTATTCCAGCATTTATTGAATAGGAAGTCTTTATCTCATCACTTGCTTTTATCAGCTCTTTTGAAAATCAGATGGCCATAGATTTGTGGCCTTATTTCTGGACTCCCTATTCTGTTTCATTGATCTATGTGCCTGTTTTTGTACTAGATGCTGTTTTGGCTACTGTAGCTCTGTAGTATAGTTTGAGGTTTGGTAACATAATGCCTCCAGCTTTGCTCCTTTTGTTTAGGATTGCCTTGGCTCTTTTTGGTCTTATATGAATTTTAAAATAGATTTTCCTAGTTCTGTAAAGAATGTCATCATTACTTTGACAAGAATGGCATTGAGTCTGTAAATTGTTTCGTGCAGCATAGTCATTTTAATGATATTGATTCTTCCTAACCATGACCATGGAATGTTTCTCCATTTGTTTGTGTCTTCTGTGATTTCTCTGGGAAGGGTTTTCTGATGCTCACTGTAGAGATTTTTCACCTCCCTTGTGGGCTGTATTCTTAGGGATTTTGTGTGTGTGTGTGTGTGTGTGTGTGTGTGTGTGTGGCAACTGTGAATGGGATTGCCTTTCTGATTTGGCTCTTGGCTTGGCTGTTGTTCGTGTATAGGAGTGCTAATTATTTCTGTACATTGATTTTGTATCCTGAAACTTTGCTGAAAGTATCTGCTGAAGGAGGTTTTGGCTGAGACTACTTTTCTAGATACAGAATCATGTCATCTGCAAGGAGATAGTTAGACTTTCTCTTTTCCTATTTGGATGCACTTCATTTATTTCTCTTGCCTAATTGCTCTGGCTAGGACTTCCAATACTATGTTGACTGAGAGTGGTGAAAGAGGGCATTTTGATCTTGTACCAGTTCTCAAGGGAAAGGCCAGCATTTGCGCATTCAGTATATTTTTGGCTGTGAGTTTGTCAAAGATGGCTCTTATTATTTGGAGGTATGTTCCTTCAATACCTAGTTTATTGAGGGTTTTTAGAATGAAGGGGTGCTTAATTTTATTGAAAGCTTTTTCTGCATCTATTGAGAAAATAATGTCGTTTCTGTCTTTAGTTCTGTTTATGTAATGAATCACATTTATTGATTTGCATATGTTGAACCAACCTTGCATCCCAGTGATGAAGTCTATGATCGTGGTGGACTAGCTTTTTGATGTGCTTTTCAATTTGGTTTGTAAGTATTTTGTTGAGGATTCTTGCATCAATGTTTATCAAAGATAAAAGGAAAGCAAGAAAAAAGAAAGGAAAAGAAATTTACTCTCAGGGATGCTGTAGAAAAATAGGTTTCTCTGCCTCACTTTTCAAAAACAGTTTGACTTGAAAACTACTTGAGTACGTGGGGCAGTACTCAGCTTCTGCATAGGACGTAGAGTAGTTCAGGATCCTAAAGAAAGTGGATATACTTGTCTGGAACCTCCAAAGCTCAAAGGATCCTCCCACCTCAGCCTCCTGCATAACTGGGACCACAGACATGTACTACCACACCTGGCTAATCATTTAAATTTTTTGTAGAGATGGAGTCTCCCTATGTTGTCCAGGCTTGTCTAGAATATTATTTATTTCTAAGCAGAAATGAGCTATCAAGCCATGAAAAGACATAAAGAAAACTTAAATACATACTACTAAGTGAAAAATGCCAATTTGAAAAGGCTACATACTGTACAATTCTAACATTGACATTCTGGAAAAGGCAAAACTGTGAAGACAGTAAAAAGATCAGTGGTTGTCAGGAGTTGGAGGTGTGGAAAATAATGAACAAGCAGAGCACAGAGGAGTTTTAGGGCAGCAAAAATAATCTGTATAATTCAATGATGCTCAGTCATTCAATACATGTCATCATACATTTGTCCAAGCACATAGAATGTACAATACCAAGAGTGAACCCTCATGAAAGCTATGAACTTTGGGTGATAATGATGCGTCAATGTAGGGCCATCCATTGCTACAAATGCACCACTCTGTTGGGGAAGTTGATAATGGGGGAGGCAATGGATGTGTGGGGGCAAGGTGTATACGGAAATCTCTATACCTTTCTCTTAATTTTGTTGTGAACTTAAAACTGTTCTAAAAATAGTTTTTTTAAAAATTATTGTTTACATCCCTTATACCTGCAACTTAATATTGATGGAAAGAATATCTATATTTTTTTTGTTTATGCACATCCTAAATTGAAATATGAGTTATAAACTATGACAAAAACTGTGCCCTACTAAAGTCAAACATTAACAAATATTCTACTCCAGACTGTCTTCAGGACTAGAGGAAACCGTAACACCACATTTACAGTGAATATAACCCCAAGGTATGTCTAAATTATGTGTATATTATATACTGATTTTTTTTTTTGTATTAAAAGAAGTAGTGTCTTATGCAATTCTGGTCATCTGGTGCTTAGCATTTGGGGCTTTTGATAGAATTTTCACTAATAAAACTTGAGTTTGATACAAACAGAATAAATTGCTATTTAATTCAATGAAAAAACTTTGATATGAACAGAATAAATTGCTATATAATTCAATGAAAAAAGTTAACCTCCTAAACAGATAAACCAAATGCTGAAAAATTTGAAGAACTTAAAAAATAATCAGTCATTACCAGTCAATAGTCCTCTGTAAGTGTACCTTTTATCAATCAGTCAAATATTCAAACAAAACACTCTGAGTGCCTACAAGACACTGGAGTGTTCAAACAGGAGCAAGAAACTGAAACAAATGTGTCATGATCCCTATGAGAAGATTTAAGTCTAAATAAATGCAGTCTAAATAACTGATTCTGTACTCACCCTGCTGACTCCAATCTTCCCAGACATGTGAATATTTGACTCGTATAGCCTGTATTCAACTATTGTCTAATAGTGTTGGCCCACTGTTTTCTAGAGCTTTATGACTTAGCTCTACCTACAACTATCAATCATCTAAAATATTAATAATACAAAGTTCTCTAAATCTTGATAGTGAATATTCACTGTTTCCATTCCATTTACTATAATGGACTTTTGTTTTATTTGAGATTAATATGGAGGCTCTGTAAAGAATTTTGGAAAGTATTTATAGACCCCAGATGTATAAATACATTGATTTCCAAATAACAAGACACAATGGAGAGAAGCTCAACTGCAACATGGGTGCTTTACCCATCTTGCTTCCAGTACTTCATGCTTACATTTTAGTGCATTCTATACACCTACAAGTGGCTGCCTGGCTGGTAGCCATTACTTCTTATAAAACTGAGAAATCTGAAGCAAGTTAAGGAACCAAAGAAGTATAAATGGAAACAGCAATCAAACTAAATCTGGCATTCATAAAAATGACTCATAGTAGTGTTATCTCAGTGTAGACAAAAGGTCTTTAGAAAGCTAAAAAGTATAATATTTAAGAGCTTGGGCCTTTGTATCAGATAAAACCTACAAATGAATTTCAAATCTGCCAGTGACAAGATATATTACATTGGTCAAGCAACTTTGCATTTCCGAGTCTCTGTGTTTTATTTGTTTTGATGCATAAAATGGGGAAAATAATACCTCCCCCTTAGGGGTCTTGTTATAATTTTGATAATGCATCTCATATACATAGCATAGTGCCTGGCACATAGTAACTATTCAGAAAAATATAGTTATTTTGTAGAAGCTGTTAATTTATCATTTTCTGGAAGCCCTGTCAATGCACAGTGGTATTTGCTAATGGTATTGGGATATTTTTTTACATGAATAGATTTATCAAAGAGAGTTTTCAGTTTTCCTCTAAATTACCCACAGAAGCATATTCAAGAAAAGTTAATGCATTTTTCAATTATTTTTAACGTGTCTAATATTTCTCTTACCTTTGCTTTTATTATCAGTTCCTCATGCTTACGAATTAGGTCCTCATTGTCTGAAAGTGATGAACCTAGACTTTGTTCCTGTAAATCTCTTACAGTTTTCTGAAACCAACAAGTAACCTAAGAAGCAGAAAAGATAGATCAAAATTCAAATGATCAGAATAAGTCAGTAAAAAATTCAGAAATAGTCCCTCAAACTTCCAAAACTTAAGCTACTTTAATTTCTCTTTATATAAACTATATCATGTATTTATATCATATGAACAAGTTTTGAATTTTTTCTTCATTTTAACCTCTACATGCATAAGAGAAAAAAAATCCCCAATAAAGTATGAAAATGACTAATCAGGTCAGATTACATGTCATAAAGAAAATCAAAATTTCCTAACAAAGAATCAAAATAGATTCCCAAATAGTCTCTAAATCATGAATTCTTTTAAAATATGTCTTCTTTCCTAGAAATAAATATGAATCTAAGTATAGTTATATAAACCCATATGAAGATGTTAAAACAGTATATGTAGAATTATATTTTCTGCCATAAAAAATACAAAAATATTTAGCTATAAGTGTTGGAAAGCTATATCCAGAAAACAGAGGTTATTAAAATCCATTAACATTATAAGTGGTAAGGGCATGACTCACATTCACATTGACTTGATTTATAATGCATTCCATATGCAGTGCTGAAACTACAAATAGCAAAGGACTTGAAACAATCTATACATTTTTAAATGATTTCATAACTTGACATGGGAGCCCTGGATGCAGATTCCTTATTCCAATTAAAGGAGACTTAAATTTTTACTCTCAAATCCTGTATAGCATTATTCTTACAATCATATCATAATGACTGATTTTTTTTTTTTTTTTTTTTTTTTTTTTTGAGATGGAGTCTTGCTCTGACGCCCAGGCTGGAGTTCAGTGGCACGATCTTGGCTCACTGCAAACTCCTCCTCCCAGGTTCAAGTAATTCTCTGCCTCAGCCTCCAGAGTAGCTAGGATTATAGGCACCCACCACCATACCGGCTAATTTTTGTATTTTTAGTAGAGATAGGGTTTCATTGTGCTGAACAGGCTGGTCTTGAACTCTTAACCATGATCCACCCACTTCAGCCTCCCAAAGTGCTGGGATTACAGGTGTGAGCCACCAGTGCCTGGCCATAATGACTGATTCTTAAGAGATGGCTACAAACTAGTAGTTTGCTAGTTGCTTTATGGGCATCATCTCTATTTCTCTCAACAACTTTATAAGAGTCATGATATGATCATTTTTTAAATGAGATAACAGAGTTTTGAAGCAGTTAAGCAGCTTATCCACAGCCACAAAGTAAGCAACAGAGACAGAATTTGTTCTCCAGTCTACAGGATTTCAAAATCCGTGCTCTTTCCATTGTACCCTGCTGCCATGCTTGAGACATTTAAAGTCTTACAGCCCTGCCATCAGGGGTAATGACTTCAAATCTGGAAAATGAACACTGGCAGCCCATTCAAAACAATGGGTATCTAAATCCCAGGCCTGATACTGTCTTTCCCCAGCCTACGTTGGGGAAAGACACACTGCTGTTGTGCCTGCACCATCTCAGGATTTCCCTGAAATCCTGTAACATGGAGAAATGTGCGAAACAGGTGGCCAAGGAGAACTCTAGATTAGATTGGAAGTTCCACACAATAAATGCACATGACACATAACATACACACACACATACACGCACGCACACAGACACACACAGACACACACACATACGTCAGAGTTAAGGGCTCGCCTAGAATAGGGCACATCATTTATAGGGCTGATATCACAAAGCTGGCTATGGGATCAAAAGGTCTGCACCAACTCTTAGTATTTTCCAGCATGGAATTGGGCAGTTAAAAAACAGGGTGGAAGCATTTCTCCAGCTTTCTGCTAACTGGAAATGTCTTTACTAACCATCATTTTAGTCTATCATTAGAGCAAAGAAAAGAATGCTGGTGGCCTTGTAGCAGTTTCCATGTGACATCTATCTCATTTTCTTCCGAATATTTGGTAATCTATGCACAATACAATACACATATTATCTAGTTAGTCCTCATGATATATAAGTATTGTGCTTATTTATTTACAATTATTTGAAGACACAGTCTGTTTTTCTGGTATCCAGTTAAAGCTAGATGCCACTTACAATGTGCCTATTAAAACAGAGAGAGTATTTTATCAACAGCTTAACATTTATTATTTTATTTTGAAAAGCAAAATAATTTTCTCCCCAAAATTCAGTGATCCCCTATAAAAACACAACTAGAGCACTGATTTAAGGGTTTCCTAGAAGTGGATCACAAATATAACTAATTTCCAGAGATCATTTATTTTATTAAATGAAAGTGAGTTTTATTTACTCTTAGCTAAAGTGGGAGGGACTTGACATCTCAAGAATGATTTAACAGGGACAATTAATATAGAATCACAGTGGATGAAAAATGGGTACAAACAGGTGTTTGCTAATCTCTAAAAACAGGTGAGAAGCCTGAACCCTCAGATAATCTTATTAAACTTTATGAGTCAAAGACTTGTCATCTAACAAATGCCAGCATGATGAAAGCTGTGAAAGAGTGAGTTGTTTTGATTTTTAAATGGTATCTACTGACCTCATCTCCTAGATTTGGCACATACTATTTCAATTCCCCAAAGAGACCATTCTTGTAAGACAATACTATTCCCTTTAGGATAATGTAGTTAAAGAACTACAATAATGTTCAGTGTATGTTGTTCATGCTCCTGCCTGTTAAACCATGCTGACTGTCTAGATCTACAGACTTTTACTACCAGATACAACCTGGAAAGAAACATAAAAACAAGTTGGCATAAAATTCAGAAGTAGATCATCATGAGGGTGTTACATCTCATTATGAGATATTCACACACAGGAACAGACTTAGATCAGATTTACCATGTATGCTGTGGGATGCACACAAAATAGGCTCTCAGAGTCCTTCTGGTATAAAATAAGACACCCTAAATAACCAGGAGCATGTCAACCATAATATTCTGTCACCCAGTAAATCCGTCATTGTGCCCAGTGAGTAGCTACTGCAGACAGCTGCATAGATATTCTAAGTGCACTTTTTATAAGCTTTTAAATTATATCAGCTGCTGTCCAGACGCCAGAATGATAAGTACAGTAAATGATGCGCCAGGACATTTCTGTAGAACATGATCCCTGCAAAACAATGAAAACATGAGCCACAAGCTGAGGAGATATGCGAAGGAAAGAAAACAAAAAATATTCAAAGTATACACTGGAAATTGGTTCTGGGCACTGATGGATTAAAAGGGTCAATTAGAACATTTTTCCTTTCTTCCCAGTTCCTACGTTTCAGTTTCATCTGAGCAACATGATCATGGTCATCCCATCAATTTGATAGGGCATTCTAGGTACTTGATACCCAGAGGAGGTAGAACTCAGCAGAGAAGGAGTGAGGTAGATTGTGTGAGTGTGGAGTGATAGAGTGGCATCTATCACAGAGTGACAAGAGACGGAGAAAAAGGAAGGTCAGCAAAGATGCAGAGAGGAAGCCATTAGGAATGTTCAATGAAAACCAAGAGCTGCCTTGAAAGTAAAGGTGGGGTGGCAGGAAAATCGGTACTGTCCAATACAGTAGCCAGTAATTATACATAGCTATCTAGTACTTGGAAAGTGACTAGTCCCAATTGAGACATGCTCCATGTGTAAAGTACACAGCAGATTTCAGACTTAGCATAAAATATAATAAAAATATCTCACAAAGAAATATTAGTATGAGTATAATGGCTCATGCCTGTAAACCTAGCACTTTAGGAAGCTGAAGTAGGTGGATCGCTTGAGCTCAAGAGTTTGGGACCACCCTGGACAACATGGCAAAACTCAGTCTCTACTAAAAAATTAGCTGGGTCTGGTGGCATACGCCTGTAATCCCAGCTATCCAGAGAGGCTGAGGCAAAAGGATCACCTGAGCCTGTGAAGTCAAGGCTGCAGTGAGCCAAGATCATGTCATTGCACTCCAGCCTGGGCAACAGGAGTGAGACCCTGTCTCAATTAAAAAAAAAAAAGTTAGTATTGATTACTTATTGAAAAAACATTTCAGATATGTTGGATTAATTTAAAAATAGTATAGCTTTTCACCTTTTTATGTGGCTTTTTACTTCTTAATTTCTTTTTTACTTTTAAAATATGACTACTAGAAAATTTAAAACCACATCAATAGTTTGTATTATATTATTATTGGATGGTTCTCCAATTAAAATATATTTGGACTGTCTTTATTTGTTAAATGTAGACTTAAGGACTGAGCTTTAATTAAGGATATTTTAAAAAGTGGAGTCAGGAGAAGAATGGTGTAAGATATCAGTTGGTAAGCATTTATGAACATCTAAGTAGGGGATGAGGAAGTTAAAAACCAGAGACACTTTCAAAAACTTTTATTGGCTGCTACAGTTTTGATGTTTGTCCCCTCTAAACCCCATGTTGAAATCTGATCCCCAGAGTTGGAGATGGGATCTAATGGAAAGTGTTTGGATCATGGGGGTGGACCCCTCATGAATAATAGATTAATGCCCTCCCTGGGTGGGGGCTGGGGGTAAGTCCTTCTTTTATTAGTTCCCAGCAGACCTGGTTGTTAAAAAGAGCCTGGGGTCTCCACACGTTGTCTTGCTTCCTTTCTTGCCATGTGATCTCTGTACTTGCAAGCTCCCCTTCACCTTCCACCACGGGTGGAAGCAGCCTGAAGCTTTCAACAGATGCCCAGTCTTTCAGCCAGCAGAATCATGAGCCAAATAACCCTTTTGTATTTATAAATTACCCAGTTTCAGGTGTTCCTTTGTAGCAGTGCAAAATGAATTAAGACACTGGCTACATTCATTGGCTGAGTAAAAGGTAATACCTTTTGGGAAAGCAGATGTAACAAAGGGGCTCTTCCCCACATTTTTTTTTTCTTTATGTGAGAAATGGATTTCTTTGCATGTCTTGTTCATCACTGAAGATGCATGAGGAAAGTTGATACAGGGATGTACCAAAAGAGTGGGAAGGTTGGAAGAGCAGAGGTTGGGCTAAATACCTTCAGCAGGTATATACCTACTGAAGGTATTTAGCCTTGAGCAAAGAAAG